CTAAAAACTACTTCCAAAAATATTCAGCTTTGATATTAATGAGTTTTTAGGGTTCATTGAGAACATGGTTGTTGTTCAATAATAAAATTAATCCTCAAAAATACAACTTGCCTAATAATTCTGCACTCCCTGTACAACTTAATACAACTTAAACTACACTTGTGTCAAAGAACTACAAAGAACATGTTATTTGAGGTATGGCTGCTGTTTGCATGATGACAATTTGTCAAACTCAATTTTAGAGTCACACATGCTGCGCTCATGTCATCTGTCCATCTGTATATCAGATTAAATATAATTCATGATCAAAAACAACTGCTCGCAAACATATGATGGTCCAAAAAATGTAAGGAGTGCAATCCCCTGAGCTTTCATGGATTTGAAATTATTTGGCTGAGGATTCCTCACTTTTAGGATCCCATTTATGGTTTTCCTGCTATACTATCACTCTCTTTTTGCTGTAGAGTTGTTAGTTGATCAGTTAATTTATTTTTCCAAACAGAGCTTTCTTGAAACGCTAACACTTCCATTTCCAGACTTTCAATTAATAACCATTTAAAGCATGAGATAACCAGTACTTCAAAAATCGCTTTATCGGGATTAGTTATAAAAGACAAGGTTGTCTCCATAATGCAGAACTGAGAAAATTTGGCATTTAAAATGCTCTTTTGCGTGTTCCACAATGTTGGAAAGCATTCTAGGAATTCTTTCCTTTTAGCATCACCAAGTTCAGCGATATCTTTGTGGTTGGTTTCCAAGTGACGTTTTACACTTGACGTATGGCAAACAACAGTATCATTACAAAGTATACAAAATGCTTTTCCATTACATTCAGTCATTCCAAATGACTCTGTCTCGTGGAATGATCTACCGCTGTCTGTTAGTTTGCATTTTTGTTTGCAGTCATTTCTTATTTCAAAACTCAAGCACAGCTTCTTTGACAACGCAATCTCCACTAGAAGAAAAAGAGAAGAGGACATTATAGAAGTGACAACACACAGTAACTGCACTTGTTTATTATGAATCACAGTAACTGCACTTATATATTATGAATATCCTGGCCAAGTCGCTGAAGTCCCTGTTGTACAACAGCATTGATTATTTATCATAAACACAGGGATGTAATATTTTCAGAAAGGATAAATAGATTTGGATTTAAAAACAAAAACTAATTTTTACTAAGTGCAAGCACATAAAAAAATGTATACATGGTCAAAAGTGATATTAAAAATAAAACAAAAAAATAAATATAGTCTGCCCCCCCCCACTTTCTGCTTGCATATTAATATAATTTATTTATAGATTGCCCACAAATGTCACAGCACCAGATATGATAGGTAACGAGTAATTCAAGACTTAATTTTAACCTAAGAGGCAAAGCAATGCACAAGGTCTCGAGGAGCCAGCCCATAAGCTTACAATCTACAAAGGAAGAGAACAAGTGGAGAAAAGAAAAGAGCAAGAAACGACTCTCCCAAATAAAACCCTGAACAATAATGACAGAACATTCAAAGAGATGCAGGAGATACATATGTTGAACATACCTCGCAGGGGTACTTACACACATCTCACTATAGTACCCTACTCAATACTGAAATAAATAAATCTAGAGGTTGAGCATCAACCGTTCATGACATGCAACAGTGCTAGTGGTTAAGTATAAAGAGATGCCTGTCTTTAACACGGTCAATACCAGTGCAGGTGGTGTGTACTTTAAATTGCTGTATCACAATTAGAAAGAATAACAATTCTTACACTAATTTACTTATAGGTGAGCACCAACTATATATTTCTTTAATGATCTCTTAATCCTAGGGGAAAGAAGCAGCAAGGTTGTAAAGCATTGCCAACTTAGTGCCATATGAATAACAATGACCATTGCCCTCAGCCTTCTTATTGGGTGTTAGCACCAGGTTTGGGTGCCCTCAGCCTTCTTATTGGGTGTTAGCACCATGTTTGCGTGCTCTCGGCCTTCTTATTGGGTGTTAGCACCAAGTTTGGGTGCTCTCGGCCTTCTTATTGGATGTTAGCACCATGTTTGGGTGCCCTCGGCCTTCTTATTGGATGTTAGCACCAAGTTTGGGTGCCCTCAGCCTTCTTATTGGATGTTAGCACCAAGTTTGGGTGCCCTCAGCCTTCTTATTGGGTGTTAGCACCAAGTTTGGGTGCCCTCAGCCTTCTTATTGGATGTTAGCACCAATTTTGGGTGCCCTCAGCCTTCTTATTGGATGTTAGCACCATGTTTGCGTGCCCTCAGTCTTCTTATTGGATGTTAGCACCAAGTTTGGGTGCCCTCAGCCTTCTTATTGGATGTTAGCACCAAGTTTGGGTGCCCTCAGCCTTCTTATTGGGTGTTAGCACCAAGTTTGGGTGCTCTCGGCCTTCTTATTGGATGTTAGCACCAAGTTTGGGTGCCCACGGCCTTCTTATTGGAAGTTATCACCAAGTTTGGGTGTACTCAGCCATCTTATTGGATGTTATCACCAAGTTTGGGTGTACTCAGCCTTCTTATTGGATGTTAGCACCAAGTTGGGGTGTACTCAGTGAATTTTGTCTCCCCAATTTCTTTGCAGTAAATTAATAAATACAACCATGAAGGAGAAAAGAACATGGCTGCTGTCACTGATTTTTTCTTCTTTAAGATGAAAGAAAATAACATAATACAACCTTTTTTTAGATGTGACTTTGACTCGCTGCTAAACACTTGCCAGTGGCACGGACAAACCGGGATTTCAAAAAATATCAGATGGTAACCTGGCCGCGTGCCACATCAAAGGCTTTGGTGTACCCATTGTGGCATATATGCCATAGGTTCACCATCCCTTCCCTATACTGATAATAACAGAGTTCATAAAATAATGAGAATTAGCAGCTGGGGGTTGCTACAACAGGTTTATCGAAATTATATGTACATTTGAAAAGGAGAGGTTGAATATTGTTATTGACAAGATAGATGAGGACCCTGCCTCTAGTAATTTAGAGGTTAAGAATAGTGAGAAAAAAGAGTGGAGCAGTAATTGCCACTAATCCCCGTGGCATGCCTATGGAGTGAGACCGGCAGGGGAGATCTCAGGATCTCCCCTGTCGGCGCATGCAGAGCCGGCGCTATCCGAGCGCCGGCTCTGCTCTCAGCCTCCCTCCCCACTGCAGCAGGGAGGGAGGCAGGAAAGGACCCGGGGAGCTCAACCAGCAGCTCTGCCGGGTTCCTCCCGCAACGCTCACATCTTGCGAGAGTGAACTCTAGCCCCAAAGGGGCTAGAGTTCACTCTCCACTGAACCACCAGGGAAAGCAGCAGGAACAAGAATCCCCCCTCCCTACATGAGGTAAGAAGGGAGGGTGGATATTAAGTAATGTACCCCCACAATCAAACACACACACAGCACACACATACAGCACCCTCAAACACACAGCATCCTTTCACAGCACAGAAACAACACCCTCACAAACACACACACAGCACCCTCACAAACACAAACACCCTCACACACACATCACACTAACAGCACCCTCACACACAGCACCTCAAACACACAGCATCCTCTCACAGCACAGAAACAGCACCCTCACAAACACACACACACAGCACCCTCACACACACAGCACACTAACAGGACCCTAACAAACACACACACACACACACAACACCCTCAAACCACCCTCATGCAGCACACACACACAGCAGTGTATGTATGTGCGTGTGTGTATATATATATATATATATATATATATATATATATACACTTACAAATACACGCGGTGTCTGTTTGTGCTTTAGGGTGCACACCCTAATGCAATAGGCTGCGCACGCCTATGTTCAAAGTATTAACAAAGATGTTAAACATTACAATCAAAAAGTGACCGTGCAGCAGTTCTTAAAGTGACAGGTCTTAAAGTGACGGTGTGCATAAGGTTTCCATATGAATACATTTTTGTGATGTTGGTTCTGGAATTTGTATAAAGTGTCCAATTGTAAACAATATTCAATAAAAAGGCAAAAAGACATAGATTTCCATTTCAAATTTCAAAGTTGTTCAGACCGTCAGGTGTCATTGTGTTCAATGTATAGATCCATTTCATCTCTGCTTGTCCTAGAGTCCTTGCATTGTGGTTTTGCAATCTACACCATCATGTGTTTCTTGTATATATTTCTCTATATGTGCTGAGAGGAAGCCGATTGGAGGGCGAATTATACTAAGTATTATCTCTTAAGAATGTCACTATTTGCACTTAGTTTGGGCTTATCACATAAACAGCCACTTTACTGACATTTACTGCTCCACTCTTTTTTCTCACTATTTTTATCTTGCACTGAATTTGTGTGTTTGAGGGTATCACACTTTAGAGTGTGCTAGCAGCAGTCAACTACAATTGGATTGGAAACAGCAATTTAATTGTATTTATAATTTCAATATAATTTCTGTGAAAGAGCACTCCAAAACTAGTATTTTTTTTTTCTTAATTTAGAGGTTAAACTTAGACAAAATTTAGATATGTTCCAACAGATTAAGAATAGGAAATATAAAAAATGTATTTGTGATTCAAATGATTACTGCACTGGTAAAGTCTACAAACGATTTAGGCGTAGAGTAAGGGCAGACTCTGACAATTTTTCACATCAGACTATGAATCATAGAAACATTGAATGTGCCGGCAGATAAGAACCATTTGGCCCATCTAGTCTGCAATTTTCCCTGGCCTTATCTTATAGCTAGGATAGCCTATCCCATGCATGCTTAAACTCCTTTACTGTGTTAACCTATACCACTTCAGCTGGAAGGCTAGTCCGTGCATCCACTACCCTCTCAGTAAAGTAATACTTCCTGATATTATTTTTAAACCTTTGCCCCTCTAATTTAAGACTATGTCCTCTTGTTGTGGTAGTTTTTCTTCTTTTAAATATAGTCTCCTCCTTTACTGTGTTGATCCCCTTTATGTATTTAAATGTCTCTATCATATCCTCCCTGTCTCCTCTTTCCTCCAAGCTATACATGTTAACTCTGTTAACGATAGCAACATCCCTCAGCCCCAACAGTAAACCTCCAAAGATTCCACAAAAAATCCAAAGAGAATTCTAAAAAGGAAATGCATGTATTCAAACATGGGTCACATGGAGGAAACGCCAGGGTACATAACTTGATTTGCCTATTGCAGAGGAAGATAAAAAAAGTTATTAAATATGTCCAAGTTAAACAGACCCACCCAACAACTTAGGGTAGTGAACTTGTCACAATTTATCTAACTATGATCAGCTGTGTGAGCTTAAGAATGGCCTTTCTTGTGTGTCAGTCCCCTCTTTTGATAATTCTTGTGGACTAAAGATTTAAATCTAGCATTACATAAATACCATCAACTTAAGGTTTAGAAAAAAGCTGACACATATGGAATGAAGCAGAGTTATTACAATTGCCTTCAAGTGTTGCAAGATCTCCTTAATAAGAATGACGGATCACTCCATACTAACATGACAGGTCTCAAGCCAAGAGGCCATTTTACTTGAGGCATTAATAATTTCCGTAACATCAAACTCTTTATTGACTTGATAAGTAGGAAAATAGAAAATTTAGACATCAATCATCATTCAGTACTCCCCAAAAGTATTCAAACTTGAAAAGAATATCAGGGTTTGGTCTTGCTTAACAAGAATAGCAAGATAACCATTAAGCCAGCAAATTGCCTCTAATAGTCTTATGAGATGGGACAGCTATCATTCCGAGCCTCTAAAATGAGGAACACCAGCAGGAACATATCATAGGGTGTGAAGAAATTGCAGTACCATCAAAGACTTTAAAGCTTTCACCATTGAGGCAACAATCTAGGGATAAAGGTTACCCTAACAAGTGTTGAAGAAAGCATGTACAAAGTCTATAGGGATGGACAGTTCTTTTCTTTTGGAACCTACCTCAACCCACTGATAGACTATGAAATCAACCCATTACATCCATAGGCACCCCCGACACAGGGTGGCATTTTATGTGACATACTTTATTGAGATTCAGGCCTCTACTGACAAATGACCGACATGTTAGAGATGACCTAAGTCCACATGTGACTGTTATGGTGATTATGACATA